TTGTCTTCTTTAGTTCAAATTCCTTACAAATTTCACCGTTTTTGAAATGGCTTTTCGTTTGCTCCATTTCCCTGGCGAAACTCATTCAAAAAATGGTGCCAAAAATCGTGCGTTTTCTTTACGTTTTTTTTGTTTCGAAGGGGTCACGCGGTGAAAATGCCTGCGATGCGTCGAATTTTTAGTTGGCAAAGTTTCAAAATTTTGGTTTCGCACACGTACGTAAGTATTATTGTCTCGGGCTGTCTAAATTAAGGCCCGAATCAACAAGTAAGGCGACGTCACTTAAAGGTATTCAATAATCCCACAAAGCTATTTCAAAGAAGCCTTCTTTGATGGAAAATATACAAAATACATTTCTAGCAGCCGTGGCTTTGGATAAATTTGCATTTTATATTTGTATGCTGCGCTGCAGGCTTTAAGCTTGGGAGTTCTGATTGAAAAACCAGTTTTATTTAGGGGAGAGAAATCGCCAAGATCAAGACGCTTTAAGTTGAAAAGGTCAAGCATTAGCTCAATATTAATTGCCCTTCGACTCGAATTGATTACTATTTGAGCAATAAAGCACTTCCAACTGATAGTAAAAGTGCTGCGAATTCCCAATTCCCCTCCTCACATGTCTCATTTCTTCCCCTTCAGCATTTACTTACCCTCTCTCGTACTTTTATATCGAAGTGTTGTCTGCGGCTTTATCAATTCACCAGCACTGTTTGCTTACATCTAATTAGTCTGTTTATATAGTCACTAATTAACTATTCACTTAATCCTTAAATTTGGAAGCACGATAATGCGGGGGCCTTAACAAAATTGCAATTTACGTCAGAAGCAACAAAAAACAATAATGCCGCATAAAAAACGTGCGAAGTAGTGTGACCGGTATACCTAACACAAAATACCGGATAATAATACTATAATCAGTGTGGATAAAGACACCATTAAAACGGTCATTTATTCAAAAAATTTAAGTTTGAATTCAAAATTGATTCCTTTAAATTTAATTTTAGTTGGATTTAAAATATATTCTAAATATCACAAATAGAGTAAAAATGATAAAAGAGTAGTTGATTTTTTTGTATAAATTTCTTATTTTCCAATTTGGAATAACGAGACTTCTCCCTATATAGCATTCCGAATAGGGAAACAAACAGGTGACATCAGCTGCAAAGAAGACTTAAATATTATCAACCATACCTGTCAAGATTAAAAAAAAAGGATTTAGAAAGTTATGAGCCTAAAATTAATAATTTATCCAACATATTCAACAACTAAACCCGAGACCCACTTTTTCTAGTCCTTTATTTTGAATGTAAATATAAAATGCAATTGAGCAGCTAAAAGCTGGTAGGTCATAATAAACACTAAAGCTACGGGCACATCCATCCCCTGTTGTCTAAGTACAATGAACACTTCTGAGTTTTTTGTTGTTTAAGGCGCGCGCGTTTTTGGAACAAATGAACAACTTAATGCATATGGCATATGGGCGTATTTGGAGGCTGTGGATGGGCTGTCTGTCCACCGGAGTCCGGACAGCTAGGAAATGTCTCTTAACGTATTCGGCTTGGTGCCATCCATGTCGAAGCAGCGACAGTTGCATGATGACACTGGGCACTCTGAATTTTGTCTAAGGAAAACAGAAAAGAAAATAAGATTAAGTTTATTAAGTAATTAAGAGAATCCATCAACTCACTTGAACCACTGCATTATATGCTCGGTGTGGCCACCATGACGACAGGTCTGGCACCAGGAAAACCACTTGGAAAAGGGCTTCGTCTGCCAGCCGGAGGAGACTTCCGTGTGTGAAGTCTCGCCATTGCTCATGTTTACCATGGTTCCCATATGCATCAGGCAGAGCGAGCAGCGTGGCAATGGCTTCCGGCAGCTGGGGCAGGAGGAGAGACGATTGGTGCTTGTGGTGGTGCTCCTCGGACGTGGCTCGTCTAGCAGGGCATTCGACACAGACTTGCCACAGAAATTGCAGGATAGGAATACGGTTCGAGAGCTGCGTGACGACGATCTAATGCTCTCTATTTTGATGTCCAGCTCGGCTCGTTTCTCCCACAGGCCCCAGCTGTTAAGGTGATCCAGATAGCTGGCTATCCAGTATTGGATGCGCTTGTCCGCAAAGTGCTCTTGCCGGAAGTAGTTAATTGCCACCAGGGCCACAGTCTGCACATCAAAGCTGGTGTCCATGTAGGACTGCAGGATGCTGATGCCGTCCAGCGACTCTCCTGTGAGAAGCAATCCATTTAGATCGCCACTATCAATGGATGCCTGGATCTGCTGCGTCACATAGTCGGCCAGCTTCGTCTCCGAGAGATACTTGCAGGCAAAGGCCATGCGATCTGCCAGCGAAACGCCCTCCTCCTTGAGCACCGCTTCAAAGTTATCCTTCTCCATGGTGAGGAACGAGAAGATGGCCCTTAAATGTGGATCCTGTATCTGCATATTAGCGCTGGAGCGCTGATTTCGCCACGAGGAGCTGCAACGATCCGCATTGAAGCTGGACAGAGCGATCACCGTGATCCTGTACATGCTGGGATCTTTCATTTTGTCCGCTGCCAGGGAGAGGATTGTGCACGCATGATAAATCTTCAAATGGAATACACAGATCATGGCCGCTCGGCTGTACTCCTTGTTGGCAAACAACTGGTCGGCGAAGCGCTCCAACTCATGCTCGAAGACCCAGCCGCAAAGATTAAGGGCCGAGTCGCGCTGCTCGCTCCTGTAGCATATCAGTTTGTTGGAGTTGTTAATGCCCTCTGGCCACTGCAGCAGCTGAGATTCTATGCGGGAGCTGGCCATCAAGGCCTCCGACGTGTGCCCCAAGTTGATACCCAACGTGGCCTTCAGTCCCGTCAACCGCTCCTCGCTGTAGACGTTGAGCAAGGTTGCCCAGACGTTGCGCAGGTACGGAGTCAAGTGTTGGTCTGCAAATCGTTTGTTATCGGGCCTAATTCCATAATCCTCCAAAGCGCGCTGACGCGTCTCGTCCACCAGATCGAGTTCGAACAGCTCTGGTTCCAAATAGTCCACATTTAAGGCGGAGCCACTACCTCCGCCTGGACTAATAAAGTCTAGACAACTTCCGCTATTTGTGCTGCAGCTGCTCGTGGGCAGTTGCTGAGTGGGCGTGGCCGCATTCGTTGAGGAGGGTGAGGCGGCAGCAGAGGCGTACAAAGGGTGCTGCATGAGCAGCGGTAACTTCCGGCGATTGCTGTGAGCTGTATGCAAAGTGGCAGGCAGACGGAAATCCAGAATATTCAGAGCATCCGCCAGAAGGAGAGCTCTCTCGAAGTCCCTTGAATGCCAGGAGTGACAATTGACGTAGGCAAACTTTCCACTGTGCTGATACTTTGGCGGAAACGGACTGATCTGTCTTTTTACATGGTAAATCTCTCCGGAGTTCTCATTATCCACACTCCGGATGTCGTACAGAGTGAGGTAGGCAGAGTCACGCTGCAGCGATGAGAGCAGGCTTGTCCTTGTCGGACACCAGGCTATCTGCAGGTGATTCTTGGAGGACTGAATCTGACGCAGCGGGCTCTTGATGTTGCGGGGATCCCACAGCGTGATCACAGAGTCCACGTAACTACAAAGATAGTTGCCATTGGGGGAGACAGATAAACCCTGGACTGTCTTTGTTTGAATGCTCTGGCAGGTTGCGTTGCTCTCTGTGGTGAGGAGATTGGAATGAGATTGAGTAAAGAAGGATTGGATGTTGCAACTTACGCCTTAGATCAAAGAGCTTGATCATCTTTTGGCTCATGCCCGCAATGACCGTGCGATGATTTCGGTCCCAGCACAACGAATTGGCGGACTCGCCTACACCAAAGAAATTGGATGTCTCCTTGGGCACACCTCGCTCAATGTCCCAAATAGTGATGCAGGTGTCATTTCGATGACGATCGTGGCCAATGGCCAGAATATTCGCATCCAGTTCGTTCCAGGCAAGGCAAGTGCACATGCGCTGCTGCCGCGGGGCTACAAAAAAAGTAATCGTTAGCGGCATAGGGATAACTTAAAGCTTCGGCGCCACTCACTGTACTCCCAGCTGCTGTCGTAGGTGTCACGGAAATTACAGATTCCCACCTTGCCGTCCGCCAGACCCACGGCAATAATGGGTTGATCACTGTGATACGAGGCGGCCACGCAGCGCGCATATTGGTAGCGCGACTCATTGGCCAAGTAATTCACGGATATATACGGCAGGCGACCTGCAAAAATAACAGGAGTTAGAAGCCAAGCAAACCAAACATATGGAGGAAACGCAAAAAACTCACTTTTCTGGCTGTGATTGTGATCGTCCTTGTTGCGCACCTCGTACAAGTGGATTTCCTGGCCCCACGACACAAACTTGTCGGGGAAATGTGGAAACCAGCTGAGTCCATGTAAATTGCCACTCATCGTAAGCACTTTTCCATCGGCTTGGGAAAAACTATTCTCAAATTGCGTCGCGTTATCAGTGCAAAAACAAAAACGTGAGATAAACACTGCCGTGGAAGAGGAAGCAGCAACAGCAACAGTACACACACACACACTGGCACACAGCCGGTCGAACAGCTGATTACTTTGGTTGTTAACCAACACTGCTTCAAGGGGCACCTGCGTAAGCAATTTTTTGTTTTCTCCACCAAGCAAACGTGTTTAATTTTTATTTAACTCTCTTGTAATGCTGCCCAAAACACCCAAGCCCGCCATTTGGAAATTCATCAAGGGAAGTGCCAAGACATTATTTGTGCTGGAGGCAGTTTGTTTTGCAGCCAGCTACGGTGTTTATTACCGCATGAACACAAATCGAGGTGAGACAGTTGCGGTGCTTTACATAAGTATCAAAATAATACATAAAGGATTATCTTGCAGAGTTTCGGCAGCATATCCACGAGAACTATCCCTTCGTGCTTGATTATTACTATAAGATCGGCGAACTTGTGGGAGATAGTAAGGTGCGACAGACGGACGCCACTTACTGGAACGCCCAGAAGAAGAACGACTAGGATTAACCCAATATGCTGAGCAATCCCTACTTTAAGTCCGTGCTGTGGCTGCTGGGCTTTGGTGGCATGGGCTACGGCCTAATGCTGCTGACCGAACCAAATGCCGAGAAAATTGAGCGCATTAAGGCCTCCGGTTCGAGTGCAAAACTAAGTGCAGATGACCAGCGGAAGGCCTTGTTCATGAAGCGTTTGCAGGAGGCGGCCACCACCAGTACACCAGTGTATAGACCACAGCCACAGGAAGACAAAAAAGATAGTTAAGCGCATTAATTTAAAATTCACAAATTTGTTACATTTTAAAATACAAATGTACAGCATTTAATGCGTTTATGATGTTTTTGTGGGCATTCTGCTAGGGTAGCTCGTTATGTGAGAAAGCTTATTTCCAATATTAATATTCCTTAAATAAAAAAATATGTAGTTAGAAATCGTGAAAGTATTTTAATTAATCGCCAGTTTCGATATTTTCGATTAGCCCTATGGCTTAGTGTTGTGTAACGACTGCACATTGGTTAAGCAGATCTCGCCTTTAGCGCATTTGCATTTAAATGCTTAATTAATTGGTATTAGTGACTACGTGTAAGACTTTGGACAAACCCACAATGCCCGCGGAGGATGTGCCACTAAAAAGCATGGCCAACATTCCATCGGCCGTGCAATTTGGGGCCAACAAGGACTTCCATACGCACACGCACCAAAAGGAGCTGGACAGTGCTTTTTTGGGCAACGAGCGCCGTCCGTGGATGAAGAAGAAAGGTCACAGGGACTCGCGCCATGAACGCCAGATCCTTAATACCCTGCTGGCCACCAACAGCCAGACGGATGAGGTCAACAACTGTGTGGATAAGCTGATTTCGGAGGACATCAGCTACAGGGATCTGGCATCGCTCACCGACGAAGACTTACAGCTGTTCGGTTTCACGTCGGACCAGCACCGCAAAGAGCTCTTGAACATGTTTGCCCCGATGCCGAATCAGGATCCAAGTTATGAGTACATTTGCAATGCCCCCGAGGCGAATGCCTATAACAACCAGATACTGGGGAATGCCGGGAATCACTTCATGTCCCTGCGTGCCTCTTTGGCTGCAACCAATTACAAGCTGCAGGTGCTGCCGCCGGAGGACGTTGTTGTGGGCGATAAGCGCTATGCCAGTCGCTTTGCTTTGGAAACACTCAAGAGCGTGAAGCAAATTACGGATGAGATAGCCAACGACCTGAGGAAAATCGAAGCCAATGTCCAGAGTCTTAGGAACGAGAAGGATATCAAGGCCAAGGAGAACACAAAGAAGGTGATTATTGAAACCCTAATTAGTTCTAATCAGCTAATAACTAATTACCTTGTTTGTTATTACAGAGAAAGTTCAGCCTGGCCACAATTGTGTACTGTACCACATTGGCAGTGGGATTCTCCTGCGCCTGGTTCTGGTGGTGGAGCAAGTTTCAAGCCGCTCCTCGTTTGGAGAGGATCTCAGTTCAGACTTAAAAGTAACAAAGCATTTAATAGTTGCATTCCCATTTTCTCGTAGAGCATAAGCCTAAAGTTGTTCGAATTTACATATTTTTTGGTTAAGCTTTCCATATGAATCTCAAGCTGTATTGTAGACATACTGCCCAACATGAATAGTCACAAAAAGAAGTATTAAAATACAAAATTAACTTAGTTTATTGCTTTAAATTAAGTTCTTCGGAGAGAAGAAGGAAACCTAAGTGCACATAGGTGTCTACGTGTTCGGGAAACTCCCAGAAAGTCGAGTAGGCAATCAGTTGACTTCTTTCGATCGCATGGGCAATGTTTTCTAAAAAATTTTATTAAATACAACTCGGATATGTATGAGTTTTAGTGCATTCTTACCTGCCACATCCCTTTTGATCAGAGCTTCCTGTTCGTACCTCTCCGCTAGTTCTTTGGTAAATGCAACAAACTGTGGCAACTTCCAGGATCTGTAGAATATCGTATCTCTCGCAGAACCAGGCAATTTAGAAATAGCTCTCAGTTGCCGTAGAATCTCCTTTGTGTTGTTCGCTATATCGCCGAAAATCGAAGCTATAATGGCCAACTTGTTGCAGGGCGAGATCAGGTCATCCGGATAGGCTTTACTCCGCTCGTCGTCGCTTTTATCCAAGCACTTGGTCTTCTTGGCTTCAATTGCATAACAAATGGCGGTGCCACGCTGCTGGGCCAGTTGCCATTTGGCGTAGTTATCCTGCAGTTGCTTGGTTAAGCTGTCCAGTCGCGTTTTACAGGTGGCCAAGTTTAAATCATGGCTTGTTGACGGCGATTGCTGGCGGGGACTGTCGAGATCTTTAAGTGTGTTATTACATTCTGACCACTGACATTGTTTACATTGGTAACTCACATCGTACTGGTGTCAAGGAGACACTAATATTGGTTTCACTTAGTTTCTGCGGTGTTTTGTTAGCTTTGGTCATTTTGTAAACAATGTGCAACTAGCGTTGAAAACATTTTTAAGTATTTCTCAACAACACACATCGATAGTCGACTAAAATATCGATATTTCGAAATATCGTTAAAATAGTCATTTTACCTCCCACCTCTACCATGTTAAGCTCGTTTCGAAAAACTTTCCAACACTATTAAAGCAAAAAGTGCCGGTAATTGTCTAGACAACAATTTTTCGATCTGTCTGGATTCATTCTGTTGAAATTTCATATAGAACGCTATTAAAACCAAATTCCAAAAACAAGAAACTTAAAAATGTTGACCTGGACGCCACTTGAATCAAACCCAGAGGTGAACAAACTAAATAATGACTTATATTCGCCATTTTCCCAATTGGTTGTTGTTGCGAAAATGTTCGACTCCTTGGAAATTGTAATTAAAAAGTAAAGACGCCATTTTGGCCCCTTCCTAGGTGCTGACCAAGTACATACATAAGCTGGGCGTGTCGCCAGCCTGGTCGGTGACTGACGTCATCGGACTGGACGAGGACACACTGGAATGGATTCCGCGTCCAGTGAAGGCTTTTATTTTGCTGTTTCCCTGCAGCGAATCTGTGAGTTGTCCCCTGTTATAAATTTTGTTGTTTTTTTGCTAAGTACGTTGTTTTATTTTATAGTATGAGAAGCATCGCGCAGAGGAGCATGAACGCATTAAAGAGGTGAAGGAGGAGCATCCCCCAATCTCTTCTATATGCGCCAGTTTACCCACAATGCCTGTGGCACTGTGGCTCTTATTCATAGCGTGGCCAACAACAAAGAGTGAGTTATCATTGCTTATTTTTCTATAATTAATATAAATTTAAATAAATTTATCTAATTTAATTTTCCCTTCCAGAGTTGGTATCGGAAGTGGAGTTTTAAAGAGCTTCCTGGAAAAGACAGCCTCGTTATCCCCGGAGGAGCGTGGTCAGGCTTTGGAGAACGATAAGGACTTCACCGCCGATCATCAGGCTTTGGCTCAGGAGGGTCAGACCAATGCCTCCGAGCACGAGACGGTGATCCATCACTTTATCGCCCTGGTGAACATTGAAGGCACCCTGTACGAGCTGGATGGACGCAAGTCCTTCCCAATTAAGCATGGTGCCACCTCGGAAGAGACCTTTGTTAAGGATGCCGCCAAGGTCTGCAAAGAGTTCATGGCCCGCGATCCCAACGAAGTGCGCTTCACTGTCTTGGCCTTGACTGCTGCGCAGGAGTAGGCTGGATCTCAAATCTCAAAACAGTCCCACCACGATCTTTGGTCTACCAGAAAGCATACATTTAAACCTATTAACATATATATGATATTTATAAAGGCGCGTGGACAAATGAAGTCCCGCCTATCGGCTGCCAAAAAGCCAACAGTTTACGCATATTTATTTCGCCTTGGAGCCAAAGCCACAATTGTATTGGGAACATATTTAGTTTGTTATTAAAGAGTGCACTCGAGCTTGATGCTAAGCTTATACTGAACACGCAAAATATGTAATTTATATTTAATTTAAGCAGCTTCTTTTAGATTTTTCTAGGGTAATCTTAGAATTGATAATTCCTTTGTTCTCAATTTAGAATCTCTCCCCTTTTGGCCACCCCTGTGCTGCAGAACAGCTGATAACACTGTGGCCTCCAGTGCGCATGCCCCTGATAATTGGACATGCTCCACGTAGTAACTTGACAGCTGTCCCCACCCCAAGCAACGCTCCTCTTAACAAAAGTAAACCAGGTTTTTCTCATTTTCTTTAGCCACCTGACAAAACATAATTACCAGGAATATTCAACGCTGGACAGAGATTACAACGAAGCTATATATCACGGCCAGAACCCTCCAAGAGTGCCGACCATCGAGTTGATGCCGAGTAGGAGGAGCAACGGTGCAGGCAAGAGCGAGTGGTGGAGGAATGCTGGCCAGGATGCGGCTGCTCAAGGAACTGATGCGTGTGGCCACCCAACATCGTGCCTTCTACTGCTATGTGCTACTCAGCGTTTGGATATTCCTGCTCATAGCGGGTAAGTTTAAATTCCTACATTATTTATCTTCCACTTAATAAGCTCACTTTTCTTTTGTTTGTAGGAATGTATCGTTATATGGGCAATGTTGAGAGCATACCTGGCAGTATTCAGTATTTGGTCCTAGCTCCTCTGGCACCGTCAGCAGTTCCTTGGGTGGCGGCGAAGGTGCCCCAGCGAAAGCCTCCTCCACCGCACAGAGATTCGCAAAGTACAGAGAGCGCTGTGCACCGCTATCACAGCTCCAGCGTTTCGATGATGGCGGCCTCTTGGAGGGTTGGAAGCTTCAGGGCGTGCTGTTGGTCATCCGACATGGAGATCGAGGGCCCATATCCCATGTTCGTAGTGCTGGCATCAATTGTGGGGTGACTGGTGGCACAGATAACCTGGTTAACAAGTGAGTAACACTACCAAAAAGGATTTATCACTAAATTTATGTATTTTCCCTTTAAGGTATCGAAGTTTTCTGTACAATTCGAGTAGTTCTGCCTCTGGTTCAAATCACATGTACTGGAATAAGGTGGGACCATTCCATGGGTTTCCCCTCCTTCCGGCCACGGAGCGCGGTTGTCCGCTGGGGCAGCTCACCTACAAGTGAGTGGGATATGCCAGGAGAAGGTCTTTAATAAACCACCTTTTATTTCTATCTCTCTTCTGTTAGGGGCATCTCTCAGCTGCTCCACGTTGGCGAAATCATGCATCAGGTGTACGCCCATGCCTTGGGGCTCTTGCTGAAGCCGAATCCAAATCGTGCTTCAGTGGAAACAACGCCACACACGCTATTGAATTCCGACGAAGTGGTGGTCTTTACCACTCGCTATCGACGCACCTTCCAATCCGCCCTGGCTATGTTGTTCTCTCTCCTGCCGCCAGATAAGTGGCTGGCACTAAATGTACGCGAATCACATAGCATGGCATTCTGTTTCAGCGAGTGTAGTTGTCCCCAGTCGGCGTTGCTCCGCAAGCGATTGGAGGCCATGGGGGATAAGCAGCTCCTTAAACGTAACGACGTTATGGGCGTGATGCAGTGGATCGGCGGTACTATATTGCAGCACACACCCAATGGGATCAACAATCCTTTTGAGGTGGTTGATGCCTTGTTGACCGTCCTTTGCCATGATGCTGCCCTGCCGTGTCGGAGGAAAAAGCAGCCTGTCACGCCCAAGCCAGTGAAGAAGAACTCTAATCAGGAGCTGGTGGATGTGATCAATATAGATCAGGATGAGACGGCCGCCAATCTATTGCAGGTACTTATTTGTACCTTAAGAAGCTTTCTTCCCAAATATCTATATTTATTTTCTTAATTTCAGGAGGCACAAGGCCAGCTCGATCCTGATTCCCCAGAGGTAGAGAATGGTAACCCTTTAATACAGGCAGACGAGTCCCCCCAAGAGGGCTGCGTGGAACCTGCCCATGTGGACACCCTAATGTCGTTTGCAGATGAGCTATCCCAACGCTCCGCCGGCCATTCGTACTATAAACTATCCGGATTGCTGCGTTCCTACGGCATGATTCGTCACATTGTCAGCTATATGCTAAAGATGATCTCCGGGGACAGGACAAAGTTTGTGCTATATTCTGGACACGATTGCACCATGCAATATCTGACGGCAGCCTTGGGCATCATCAGTCCTAGTCAGGGTCAAACCATAGCGTATGCCTCCAGATTGGCATTTGAAGTATATCGAAGTGAGGCACACACTGATTACTATTTCCGTGTGGTGTACAACGGTAGAGATGTCACCCAGCAGATTGACTTCTGTGAGGGTGGCAAGAGCCTGAGGGTTACCAGAGACTCCAGGGGCAACAAGGCCGATCTGTGTCCCATTGAGAACATTATACGCTTCCTGCACGAGGATTACTTCAGTCCGCTAAACGCCACCAATTTTAAAGAAGCCTGCGGAGCTGTAAATCCCCCTAAAGCCGGCGAATTTTAGTGGAGAAATAATGAACCCCTTTAAAAACTGTGATAAGTAGTTAAGATGCCACCCGCGACGAAAAGGATAACTAGGATCTCGGTTATCCTTCACACGACCGCTTTTTAGCGATGTTATCTCTGTTACTTAAGTCACAATTTAGTTATTCAACTTGTTGATCCACAAATCGCAAACGATACATATCAATGGAGCACTTGTTAGATTTTTAGGAACCAAAGCATCTTTTAGAACGTAAGACTAAACAAATCGTAAACATATCAACCAACTTAAAAACGAATTAAATAAGAAGAAACCCTTTCGCGAATCGTAGAGTTAAACATTTCCGAGTTTAAGGGCAATTGCATATTTTTACGCATTCCAAAATTATACATTCCTCTTACGGAATTTAGAATAAACTCAAATCAAAGATAATACAAGCTTTAAGAAGAGTAATGTGTATAGGAGATGCAGGAACTGAGGTATCACCTAATCTTTTATAGAATGTTACTCATTTTAAAGCTTATATTGCCTTTGGTAATATGTATTTAGATTATAAGCAAGAGTCTTAAATGAAATGTAAACATATCAAGAAGTTACACATTCACTTTACAAACTACAAAATTAAATTCCTTAAGCCTCAAATCTTGAAGCTGATATACAGTTTATTGATGGTATATAACGATTCGACTAGAGATGTAATAAAGTTTTGAAATAAATGTTCTATAAATAGTTTAATATTTAAATTTTAACGACGGTGTGGAAACTTATACTTATATATATTTATATTAACTATTTGTTCGCCATTTTAAAAAAGCATTTGCTTAATTATTTAAGTTTTTAAATAGTTGTTTTATTTTTATACCCTTCCATGGTATTTTTAATGTAGTCAGAAGCTTGCAAAGCTGTGAAGGAGTCATATCCGACCCTATAAACCATATATATTCTTGATCAGCATCAAAAGCAGAATCGATCTAGTTATGTACTGTACAAAAATAATTTTTTAGATTTTTTCACAACAGTAAAAGGGATACATCGTTAAAATTTGCAAAAACTGATACAAATTTCAATATTTTATAATTTGTAATTGAGTTAAAAGATTTATTAAATTAATAAAAACTAACATAGGAAAGCTTTCCGAATTTAATTTTACTAAAATAAAATCTATATATATCTATATAGTCTCAGTCAGTCAGTTAATCACTAGTAATAATACCCATTGTTGGTAAACCACTTTTTTTTTGTCATTAAGCTATATTTTTGTTTATTTACATATCTATTAGTCTCTCATTAAACAACAAACAAATAAAATATATTCTTGTATTTATATTTTTTTTAATTTATATAAATACAATTGTTTCCTTTTATTTTAGACCTCATCTTAACAATCGTATTTCCAATTATATTTAAAGTTAGTACTGATTTAATAGAAATTAGCTATTTAATTTTTGTATATCATTTATTTTATGTACTAGGCAGCTAAGAACAGTATTTTAAACAATTAAATTTAAACTCCAATGCACTCTTTTCAACCTTTAAGCTCCAAAGAGAGAAATACCGCCAATGCATTTGCAAAGTTTTTTTTTTGCTGCCTCTGCTGCAGCGCTGCTTTGGTATGGGTGTGAGTGCCCGCTCTCACACACAAACAACAAAAGCGCATCATCAACGAGAATGATAAAGCAAACGAGAGCAAAGACCCCGCCAAAAGCCAAACAAATAACAACAACAAATAATGAAAAAAAAAAAAACAAAAGCGGGGAGTGGTGTGGAGTCATTACTGCCTGTGGAAAAGAGGGGCACAGCAGTAAATGGGGAGCCCAAGCGCGCAAGTATAGCGCACACACTCGCACACACAGAACACACAAAAAGGAGGGGGACGAGAGAGCGCGAGTGGAAGGGGGCATCGCGCAATGAGCGCGTGTACCGTACTGAGCACACAGCGTAATGTAAAATCGTCGCTCTCCACAAAACTGAGAGCCTGTTGGCATACAGTACATTTTGTTACTTTTGTGCACGCAGCTCGCATTTTGGAGGAACACTGGGGGAAAAGGCCGGAAAAAAAAGCCCGGAGCGGAACAAGCAAGGGGAATATCCAACCTGGAGAAGTTGGAGTTGTAATGGACACTCTTTCCTCACACTCTCCTTCTTTGATTTTGTGTGCAGCCCCAGTCCCCCCGTTGAAATCCTTTGGAAAAAAATCAGCGTACATACATATGTGTCGTAATGGAACCCTAGGGCAATCTTCGCTCGCATGGTGCATGGTTGTGTTACATTGGGAAAAGGAGCCCAGATTTCGCAGCCGCGCGATGCACTTGCAAAAAAGGCCCACCGTAAGAGAGTGAGAGAGAGAAGAGTGAGCGAGAGCAGCCAAAGTGGGCGGAGCAGGAGCGCCCACCGATTTTTTTTTACAGTCACTGAGTCTCCTCGCAAATCTCGATACAATGTTAATGTGCACCAATACCAGTGCAGCCAGGCAGAGTGCACAGATGGAATGACGAATGCTGCTGCGTTTGCTGCACGCCGCTGAGTGCGCCTTCGTCTTCTGGGCTGTTTTCGTGTTTTGGCGTGTGGGGGCACAGTTTTGCAGCTTGCAATGCCGATGCACTTGCTCTTGCACTGTCCCCCATTTCGTACCTCCTTCCCTCTCTTGCACTCAGCAGACCGTTTTTTTTTTAGTTCGAGAGACTCTATATCTGTCTTTTTCTCGCTCATCGCTGCATTCACACATGTGCCATGCACTTGCACAGTGGACTCAACTCGAAACGAACAAAATAAATAAATAAGAAATATGTACTAATAAAAAAGTCTTTGTAGTGTAAATCAAAAAACCTAGAGAAATTGAATTTACAAAAATGTTCTCCAAATTAAAATTACTTGTCCAACTCAAAGTGCATTTTATTTCCCATCATCCCACATTTGCTGGTTCCACTGTGAGTAAACTGCATTGCTCTTTTGCTCTTCAGTTCAGTTGTCTTTGTCTCGCTTGCTCGCTTTGAAAAAAGGCACATAAACAGCCCGAGAAGGTGTCTTCTCGCTCGCTCGCTCTCTTTTTTTGCCCTCTTTCGCCCCCGCCCCACTCAGACGGTTGGTTGGACTGTGCATTTTTATTTTGTTACACAATTCCGGAGCCGAGAAATCGCTGGCTGCATCGGTGCTGCGCCTCTGTTACAAAATATTGACGAAGAAAAATCATGCAACGTTTTTTTTTCAAACCTTTTTTTTTCAACCATTTTTCATCGGTGCAACGCCAGCGAAATGTGATTTTTAGCCCGAGTTTTTGAAGAGCGCGGGGTGGCTTCTATTTCAAGGGGCAGTCGGGACTTCTATGCGGTTACTTGTCGGCCCGATGGGGTTTTCCATTTTGGGGAAAAACTGTGGGCAGGATTTTTCCTAGGCGCCAAATAGATGCAACCAGTTGGAGTTGCACAGGTGTGTGTTGCAAGTGCAGCAGCGGTGCTGCTCGGCTGCCGCTAGGAGAGATCGTCTAACAGAAAAGCAAAAACCGAAAGCCGAAAGAGTTTTCCCAGCAACTGCATTCGGAACTAGGCTCGCCGTCGACTAGGCTTCGTTTCTGTTTCGGTCCCACCACAGCTCTTCGTCGGCTGGCGGAGCACAGATGCCGAGCATCGGCAGATGCACTCGATGCACTTTTCAAATGTGCCAGTACGAGTGCACTGAGAGGGGGGGACACACATTACAGTTTTCCAAGCTAGCAAGGCAGAAGGGGGCGACGATAGGAGCCCTAGCAACACATCTCCCCACCCCCTTAACCAACTCATTCTAGCCCAGCTCATGCTCTTTGCTCTCAGAGAGGGAGAGTGCTGTGGTGGACTGGGTGTGAGCGAGATAAGTGCAGCGACGTGCACATAGAAGAAATTGTGATGACGTTGGCGTAATTGCAGCCAAAGAATAAAGGAGAAAGGAGAGGGAGGAAAAAGGTGGCGTAAAGAAACGGAATATATAGGCTACTGCTAGCTTAAAATTTGTGATTTGTATTGTATTTAATATTTTATTTCTATCTTCTTGTTAATTAACTCCAATTGTTATCCAATTGGATACATTATACTTGCCTATTTTTATTGCATTTGTACCAATAAAAAATAAAACATATTCAGGGAAAATAAAATAAAATAAAAATACACAGCCAATATTTCTATATATATTTTCTAATTTTTAATTTCATATGTTTTTATATCTAGGTAAATATTAAAACCCAGTGAATATTAAAGGCAAAACATATGACTTACGATAAGACTCTCTCTCATTCTCTCATTGTGTTCTTTGTTTTTGTAGGGGCAAAGAACGAACGAAGAGCGTGTACAATATTACGGTGCAATGCACTGACCGCGGGTACATTGGCCCCACACTCTCGCACACAAACAACCAAACAAGTGTACGACGACCTTCCCTCTGACAGCCTACTGCCGTCTCGCTCTTTGTCTTGTTGCGCCATTCAACGTTCGCCGTTACGTGTTACGTATGCGACTTTCGGATTCTGTTTGCCTGTTCCATTAACATGGCATGACGCAAACTCCACCGAGAACGTACATTTCGGCCCCCACAAAGCGCCTCCAACGGCAGATTCGAGTGGATCCCATAAGGCAGGAGAGATAAACAGGGGTTCCCCGCTTTCCGGGGGCAACTCCTTAACAGCGACGCGCATAGAAAATCATTAGAAGTTACCCAAGAGCTACCAAGTTGTCATAGAAATAGCAAAATTCTGGACGCAACTCTGGAGCCCGAGCCCGAGCCCGCCCCACAATGGGGGTTTCGATGTGGAGGAGCAATGGGATTGGGTTTCAGGTTCTGGCTTCGCTACGGGATTGGGTTTGGGTTCCGTTCCGCTTCTCCTCTACACTACGCTAACATCGATTGGGGGGCTGTAAAATTAACATAACAAAAAAGGGAACACTTGTCGTCGTACCGCCCTCCCTTTCCACACATTTAATGGGGAAACCCATTATAATTTCACATTTTTATAGCGGAAATTTCTTGAAGCCTGTTCGATTATATTTTAAGCACACAAACGTCGTTCTGGCCACATAAATGGCCCCAAGGTATTATTGTCGTGGTTTCGGTTCGTTGGGGCACGCCTTCTAAAATTATAATTTATTATTATTATATTTCGTTTGCTTAATTGCACCAGGAAAACAGAAGTAATCGCGCACCACAAACAGCGGGAGCCAAAGCCGCCGAAACCACACCGACATGCATTCAAGCCACAGCCATGGAAACAGGCCACCATCCACGTTCAGACCATGGCTAGAAAGGCACTTCCCATTACCACTTTGATCAAGCACCAAAAGAAATAATCTATTTAATAGATTTTATTGGATTTAAAGGATTTTAATTTGATTAATTAATTAATCGACAAATCAAAGTTTAAAAGAAAAGTAAAAAAAGCATTACATATCGGATAGTTTCTTTTGGTAGGTTTTATTTGGTTAATAAATCTTTCTAAAAAATTAGAAACTAAACTTTGGTACCTAAAATATTTATTGACACTTTTTATTAAGGAATTTAAAACTTTAAACACCAGTCTCTCTATTTTAAGTTCATTTAAATATATTTCTCCCAGTGCATATACCCTGCTACTCCCCCGGAATCATTGGGGCTGCTCTCTGTTTTCTGATTTCTGCTCTTCGCTCTGCCTGTCTCTTGTTGGGGCAAAAAATCGAAAAAGATGGCTACTAGCAGGGCGGGCTAACAGAAACTGTAGCAAAGCGGAGCAGAGGCATACATGA